GGGTAGCCCCTCCCACTACTCCGTTCAAGATACCAAAATATTTAACAAACCTACCAGGGTAGCCCCTCCCACTACTCCGTTCAAGATACCAAAATATTTGACAAACCTACCAGGGTAGCCCCTCCCACTACACCATTCAAGATACCAAAATATTTAACAAACCTACCAGGGTAGCCCCTCCCACTACTCCATTCAAGATACCAAGAGTGGTATTTTGGAACTTTGTGGTCAATACTAATAAAAAATACACAGGAAATAGGTGTGAAAAGGTTAGAGGTAGGAACTCCCAAGAATGGTATTTTGAAACTTTGTGGTCAATACTAATAAGATAAACACAGGAAATAGGTGTGAAAAGGTTAGAGGTAAAAACACTCAAGAGTGGTATTTTGGAACTTTGTGGTCAATATTAATAAAATAAACACAGGAAATAGGTGTGAAAAGGTTAGAGGTAGGAACTCTCAAGACTAGTATTTTGGAACTTAGTGGTCAATACTATAAAAGTATAAAACAGTACCAGTCATTTTATTTTGCATTTTAAGTGATTATGAAGTCAGTCAAACTGACCAAATGCATATAGTTAGGGTAGAGAAAATAAAGCTTTAGTGAGGAAAAACATTTTTTATTAATTTAGAAGGTTTTAGACAATTTTCAGTATAAGAAAAGTATTTTTAACCTTAACATCAAAATCACTTTGCACTTGGAGCAGTCAACACCTTGATTCTATATATTAATGGTGAAATGTTTAGTAAAAATACCTAATTACAAGTTATATCTTTTTGTCTGCAAAAATACTCGTAACATTCATGAAATGATTAAAAATCTCCATGAAGATGCAAAAAAAAAACACATTAAAAGTTATACTATGGAAACTCTTATGGACATTTTGGAGTCACAAAGTCATTGTAATCTACCGAGTGAGGGTTAAATCTTGCCTTAAGCTTGTCAATTTGAAGACTATGAGATGAACCTTCAAACTGAAGATGTGATGGACAGTACAACATAGCATTATACATCATTTGATGGATTAAAACTTTTCATTTCTATTGGTTGTAAATGATATAGTATAAACCGTAAGACTGAACTATTGGCAAGAGAGGATGTGGTAGACGTGTCTGATTTTATGACAAAAATTAAACATTGCCTTAGTCATGTCTCTATTATAATTACATTAAATTCTGTACTTCAAAAATGGATGGTAAATAAATCAAAGCTGGAAGACTGATACATTGAATGTCACAATTCTCATATTAGGGGATATCAAGGATTTTTTAAAATATTTCCTTTTAAAGTTAAGAACTTAGAACGTGTATAACATTAACGTTTGATTTATTAACTATGTTTTGATGCCAACATATACAATGAAAATAAAGTAGTTTAATTAAGTTTTGATAGTAGCTCTCTAAAAGGTTGAGACATGCACACTTCCACTTACAGTCTAACAATACAAACCAAGCACCAATCACAAGCTAACAATGTACGTTAAGCACCATTATCAGACCAACAAGAGGTGGGCGGGGTGCCACTGTGTTTGATTTATTACATGAGCAATATCTCAGTAAATAGAAAAGATAAGACCTTCTTATTTCTATATTCTAGCTTGTCAATATCTGTTATTTGTAATTTCTAATTCATAC